ATGTGCGTTTTAAAGAGGTTTACATGCATGGCATTGACATCGATAGACGGCAGATGATTTCAAAGAAGTCGCTGGTTTTGCACAACACTGTGCAGAATGAATATGATTCATTTGTTTTTAAAACACAAGTGTAATAATTCAGAATGTGTGCCCGGTCATAGTATTCCATCTCATTTTAATATTTTTTTAGAATGATTTTATGTATGTATATGTATTTTGATTGAATTATATTAATTTACTCATGACTACAGATGGATCTTTCGTTATCTTCGCTAGCAGGACAAAGGGTTAAAATCACTCCAGCCAAAATTTTGAATTGTTCTTTTAAAATAAAATAATACAGTTTAGTTCTCTGAAGCTGAAAATGATAGAAGCCCGATGATTGGGTTGCTTTTATATATTAGGGATTTACGTAATTTATAAATTGGGATGTTTGAAAGAGAAGAACTTATTTTAATATCTATATCCATTTTATTTGATCACTTTTTGAATTTAAAAAGTGTAAATTATGTATCTACATGTTGTTTTCCACTTTGACTTAATGCACAAGGTCTCAAATGTGCTGAATATTCAGGTACAAACTTTTTCCCCATTTTTCTAAAATTGTATTCTTTTTTTTCTTTTTTTTTTCCCTTCCCCTATCCTTTGGACCTCTGACTTTTATTTTGACAGTGACTCTTATTATGCAATATCATACTTCCGGTGGGCGTTAAAGACGCGATCACACATGTCTCCACGCGTTTTGGGGCATGAGAAAAAGTAGTTTACGTTAAAAACGCGTTAGTCTTTTTGTAATATATACCGTATAACAGATTTATTAACATAGTTACATATTAATGAGGGACAGCGCGTCATCTGTCTCCTAAAGGCTGTGTGTGTAACTAAAAACACGTGTTTTATAGTCATCATGGGGGATCAAGTTGAGTTGGTGGCTGGCTGTTATGAGCAGATAGTGTTTGGATATCGAGTGAGCCCTGGTGACGAGGTAATTATCATTCTTCAAAACTTTCATTTTGTTTATTGATAGAATCTTACTTTGTTTTCAACGTGAATATTAAATGCAGTTGTGTCTGTTGGTTTGTTTCAGTCTGCATTTGCATTATCATTTTGATATTGGTCCATATTTAAACTCATAATTTTACAAACTGAGCTATTATTGTTATAATAACTTACTCTAATAATAATGTAGACTTTACTTTAAATGTAATCTCAATTCAAAAGATTTTCGTGTCTATTTTAGGAGTGGACAATTGAGCCCAACTTTACCCATCATGCACACACAGCATCACTGACTGCAGTTTCATCCAGTGATCAGTTCATCGCCACTGGAAGCAAAGATGAAACCATTCAGCTCTATGATATGAGCAAGAAAACTGAACATGGGGCTTTGTTGCATCATGATGGTGAGGATGTTTATTTTGGTTTCTGATTGGATCTAAAGAGAGTGTGGCTTCAACGATTCTGCATCACTGCCGTTTCAGTTTCATGTGTTATATACCGTGTCATAAAGCATATAAATTGTAAGCTCACATTCTCGGCAGGTACTATCTCATGTCTGGAGTTCTACGGCACGTCCCATTTGCTCAGCGGAGGACAAGACGGGCTCATCTGTGTGTGGAGCACCAAAAAATGGGAATGTTTAAAATCCATCAAAGCTCACAAGTAAGTTATCTGAAAACTATCCCAAACTTTTTTTGATATAATTAGTGGTTTTATTTAGCGAGGATTTATTAAAGTGATCAAAAGTGACGGTAAAGACATTTATAATGTTACACAAGAATTCTGTTTCAAACTAATTCTAGTCATCAAAGAATCCTGGAAAAATATATCACGGTTTTTAACGTTGATAATAATCAGAAATGTTTCTTGAGCAGCAAATCAGCATATTAGAATGATTTCTGAAGGATCACGTGACACTGAAGACTGGAGTAATGATGCTGAAACATCACAGGAATAAATTGCATATTAAAAATATATTCAAATACAAAACGGTTCTTTTGGATTGTAATATTATTTCACAATATTACTGTATTTTTATAATAAATGCAGCAATGGTAAGATATGCAAAAATGTTAAAAAATCATACCGAACACAAGTGTTTATTAGTTTGGGTTTTATTTGTTTAGGGGTCATGTTACTTCACTGTCCGTACACCCTTCTGGAAAACTCGCTCTCTCTGTCGGAACAGACAAAACTCTGCGGCAAGTACACAGATGTTTTCATGTTAATATGAATATCAAAAATTCTGGTCAGATTGTTAAGCTGTGAATGTGTTTGAATCAATTTTAGTAATAAAAATGTTGTTGTTCAACAAAAACAATAGTTTTGATGACAACATTTATTGCAGAACATGGAATCTTATTGAAGGACGTTCGGCTTTCATCAAGAATATCAAACAGAGTGAGATTATAATACTTTCTGATTCTGTATTTATTTGTTTGTTTTGTTTTTCCTTTTATAAATTATTTTCTAGAATTATTGTATAATATTGAGAAAGTTCAACTTCTCAGCTAAATCAAAGCTCAATAAAACGATATATATTTTTCGTGCATGTAAGATGAGCAGTGTGTAATAATGTTTTGTAGATGCAGAGATCGTCTTGTGGTCACCAGACGGAGAGCAGTATGCAGTGGTTGTGAACGATCATGTGGACATTTACGTTCTGAAATCTGCCACAATTATTGGAACCATTGCGTTTACAAAAAGGATTTCATGTGTGAAGTTTCTGAAGGTGAACAGTCTTATCGGTGTTGCAAGAGAGCAGATGATATATGTCTATTCAATCAGTTCTAGTTTAGTTTGCAATTGAAATTTTGCTTCCCTGCTTTGTCAAATATAACATGATCAATTTTATTTAAAAGCGAAGAAGTCTTATTCCAGTATCTTCTCTCTATGTCTCCTCAAGAACACACTCTTGGCTGTGGGAGGAGACGATGAGAGCGTGCGTATCTTTGACGTGATCTCGCAGAAGTGTGTCTGCGAGTTTGAAGCACATGAGAACAGGTATGACCGCCACTTTTTAACTTTTCTTTAAGGGTGCATCTCAGTCCGAGTGAACCGGCCGTTTCTAGAGCTGTACTGTCATCAAAATCGTTCTAGTGCATCGAAATTCTCAGAATGCATTGTGAAATGAGTGAGATCTGCTGTATTTGTTATTGCTTTTAATGTTTTTCCCCCAGAGTAAAAGCCATTGAGAGCTTCATGAAGGATGATGGTTGTGTCCTTGTTACGGCATCAAACGATGGATTCATTAAGTTGTGGAAGCTCAATCTTGAGGTATTGTGTATCTTCCTTGCTTGTAAATATAACACGGACACAAGTGGGGTTTTTAGCTGTGAGCTGAACCATTATATACATAAAAAAAAAATGTTGGGCTTGATGGTTTCATTTTGATTGATCAGTATTGTATGCATATACAGAACCTGGAGACTCCTTCCCTGCTTGGCCAGGTGAACACCACTGCCAGACTCACCTGTCTTTCCATCTGGAAACGTGGTGAAGCGAAAGAAACGATTGCAGAGCAATCTGCCCAGCCTGAAACTTCTAAAGGTGCGTTTACATTTATCAAGGTTTCAGCGAATTTTCACAAGTGAAATCCAGTTGTTTCAATAGGAATCCATCCTAGTAGGAATTTCAAGAAGATTTTGCAACGGGTTCAAGTTGGTCACACAAATTTGTTGAAAGCTGCTTTGTTTGAAAGGGACTTCTGTGTGAGCTTGACAATAGATTATAGCAGTGGTCTCAGACTAAGTTCCTGGAGGGCCACAGCTCTGCAGAGTTTATCTCCAACCAGCTCCAAATCACACCTGCTTTGGAAGTTTCTAGTGATCCTGAAGACCTTGATTAGCTGGATCAGGTGTGTTTGATTAGGGTTGGAGCTGAACTGTGCAGAGCTGTGGCCCTCCAGGGTTTGAGTTTGAGTTTGAGACCACTGGACTATAGACCTATAGCTGAAATTTCATTAATTTCATTAACTATCACCTTAAAGGGATAGTTCACCCAAAAATGAAAATTCATTGGAAAGTCATCATTTACTCACCCTCAATTCATTCCAAACCTGTATGAGTTTCTTCTGTTGAACACAAAAGAAGATATTTTGAAGAATGCAGGGTAACCAAACTGGTAGCCATTGACTGTCATAGTATTATTTTCCATTCTATGGAAGTCAATGTCTACCAGCAGCTGTCTGGTTACCAACATTCTTCAAAACATTACCTTTTGCGATCAACAGAAGAAAGAAACTTTTACAGGTTTGGAGCAAACTGAGGGTGAGTACATTATGACTTTTAAATGTTATGTTAAGAGTTGAAATAGTTTCCAGACACCAAGTTGTCGAGGGAAAAACGTATTCATATCTATATATGTTCTCAAAACAGCTGTTGTGGAGCCCTCGAAGCCAGCCAAAGGTAAAAGAGTGAGGCTACCAGGAGAAGTGGTGATTCTAGAAGAAAGCAGCTCCACAAAACAAGGAAAAAAGAAGAGAAAACAAAAAGTGCAATAAACCGTTTAATTGAAATCATTGGTTGTTCTATTATTTCCTGTCTTTCCTGTCATATAGCTGAGTGATTTGCAATGCATTTATTGATGTCAACACCTTTTGAATTCCAGCTAAATGAAAGAAAAAAAATACTCAATTTTTGTATTTGTTTTAGTGCTGTCAAAGCGATTAATCATGTCCAAAATAAAAGTTTGTTCCCATAATATACGTGTGTACTGTGTATATTTACACGTTATTACATATATAGGAAATATTTACACATATAATATATGTTCATATTTATACATAATTTAAATGATAATTTTAAATATATATTACATATATTTCTGAAATATATACATGTATGTGTGTATATTTATATACAGTACACACACGTATATTATGTTAAACTTTTATTTTGGATGCGTTTAATCGATTTGACGGCACTAATTTGTTTAGTCTAAATCAAGAAAAAAAAAGTATTCCTGCACAGCTGGACTTTTATTTTGAAAACTGCTAGTGGAGTGTTTCAGGAAGTTAAAAAGTGGAGATAATTTGGCTTTTTTTCTAGCAACCAACAGGTTTTTTTTTATTTTTTATTAACGTTTAGTTAAACGCAGACATGGCTGTGGACTGGTTTGGTTATGGTTATGCGGCTCTAATAACGATAGGAGGTTTTGTTGGTTACGCTAAAGCAGGTAAGATCTCATTCATGCGACAAACTACTGTGTTCAGTATTCTGGTTTAGTTTTGGAGCAGCTAGCAGTGTTGGGGGCAATATATTACAAGTAACGCGAGTTACGTAACCAGATTACTTTTTCAAGTAACTAGTAAAGTAACGCATTACTTTTTAATTTACAAGAGAATATCTGAGTTACTTTTTCAAATAAGTAACGCAAGTTACTTTTTTTTTTTTTTTCAATGTATTGATTGACAGCTCTCCTGTCCCCATGTTGAGAGAAATCAGAAGATGTTACTGTAGTTCTGTAATAAATATGAATATGCATTAATTAATCTCACTCACACACACACAAAAAAA